TCATCCATTTAACTAAGGGGGGAAAAAAAAACGTTGTTGTCGGCGTTTTAAATTTGGGGAAAGACAAATCATCACCAGATCGGCGAAAATATCCACCGAATACCATTAGTATGCAGCAAAACACGACAAGATCTTGTAGATCGGAATGAAAAATCAATATAACTGAGTCGGCAAAAGTAACAAATAGATGTACAATCAATTCAGATGATTTACCTGTCATAGTTCTTCGCCAGTCATGTTGTGTGGAAGGTAGAGCTCCGTCGGAGAGAGATCAATCACGCGAACTTGTGTTGCTGCAGTCGGTTGTGAGAGACGGAAGAGATGAGAATAGGGCAGAGGCTTTTGTTTCAGCTGTGTATAAACCCAATATACCCTTTGAAATAGTCAAAGGGTAAAATGGTAATTCGACCCCTGTTTGTAACCCAGCTGTACACATGCGTGCACTGTTTGCGCTTTTAGGCTTATTTCATATATGAGGCTACAATAGCCTCAACTTCTTTTTCCTAAACAACGCCAATGTTTATTAGTTAGAATGTCTAGTATAATTTATTTATTTTGACTCTAATGCAATAGGTATATAATTAGACATCACATTCACTAGCTACATATAGCTAGCCTTTAATGTTAGGTAAAATGTATTTAATCATTTAGAATCATTTTCCTCTATCTTTGTTGCTAATGTGACATTTTATAAAAATTAATAGTATTTGGATGAATAGCTAAAATAAAGAATATGATTGGAGTAGAAATATGAAACAGTTGATAAACAAAATAGAATGTATACTTTATAGTAATATTTAGATAGATAAAATACCTATTACTATTGAAGATACTCTTACCTCTCTACTATAACATATCACCATGTATATATATTGATATAAATAAAGTATAAAATGAGTTAAAGCATTGCACATTCCATAACAAACTTTGAACTAAGAAACCCTTGGCAGCCTGTGCTCATCAATGACCAACCATTTGCTTTCTCATCTCAACAACCCATCCTGAGAGTAATGGGGGTAGAGATGAGCCACCAAAAATAATAATCATTATACAGCCAACTCTGTCACAATACCAAAGCTTATTTATTCACATTCCTTCTTGGCACAACTCCCAAACACCAACAAATCTATAGTATATATTAAGTAAAAAGGAGTTTTTAACCCCAAACTTTGTGGGAGTTCCAATCTCCCAATCTAAATTTCTTGATTTTTTAATTTTCAAAAAAAAAAATCTTAGCATTTATTAACTTCTCCCAACTCCTAAATCTTACCCTCATAATAACACTTTAATGCATTAAGAACAAGTATAAAAAAAAATTATTGAAAAATCCAACATATATGATTATTATCAAAATATTAGACTTTAATATAATATAATAAAAAAAAGACATTTAATTTCTTGAAAAATTCAACACATATGATTATTATCAAAATATTAAACTTTAATATAATATAAAAAAGGAAAAAAAGAAGACATTTAAAAAAAAAAGAAAACATTTAAAAATCATAATTCACATATATAGATAATTGTAAACACAATCCGTGCATAGCACGGGTGATATGCTAGTAATTTATTATGGCAAAACAGTATTCGGGAATCCTGTGGTGTTCCGGTGAGGAGTTTTTCTAAGTTTTTTTTTCACTTTGAATTGTAATTTAAACTGTTAATGATATAAGGTTCGTCGATTATATCATTCATACAAAAAATTAAGCTAATCAGAAATTTACAACCCCATGATCAGATTCAAATTGTTTTATACAAATTATCAAGATAATGTCAATCATTATTTTTTTAAAAAAACAAATGTGTTTTTGTTATAAAGTTATAGATTTTCAATCAATTTGATTTTTTGTATGGATGATCTATTCAGTAAAATGGTTCGAATCATTGAAAAAGACTCAGAAAAAGCCTCTACAAAGGCACCATAAATTGCTGTTGTGACTTAGTCACAACAACTCTGGTTCGACAAAACATGAGTACGACTCATCCTGTGGTCAGGTACAAGTTAAAAACTAGGATGGGGTTGCAATATTTGTAATATGTTTTTTTCTCAACCTTTGCTAAACAGTGATTTTCCAATTATTATTAGTTAGTAGGGTTAATTTCACTTCTTTATATTTTAATTATTGTTAAATTGTCTACTAATTATTCATTGAGTCTATTAAAGGTTGTTTTGGTAACAACCTATTTTAGCTAAAATATTAAAAAAATACCATAAAAAAGCCCAACTCTTCTCTCTATTTTTTTTTTGGGTATGTTTTTCCCCCATTCTATTTTATGTTTTCTCAATATCACATTTCTTCTCTCTTTATTTATTCTACAATTCTACTAAAATCAATGTCAAACAACACCAATTGTTACAAGTCATTTATCAGTCAAAAATATAAAATCACATTATTAAAATTCAATACTAAACATATAAGTTGCAAAGTTAAATTAGACAAGTAAAATCGGGAATGAGATTATATTACATAGGCATGGAGCGAGTGCGGAGGAGAGGTCTAGCGTGTAGAATAAAAAATGAGATGATGTTTACTAAGCGGGATTTCCCAACCCATACCCACCCTGTTTGCCATCCCTAACTACAAGTAAATCAATGCCATTTCAAGTAGGAAATAAGTCATTGGTTAAATTGAACCAAAGAGTGGTACTAGTTCGTATTCACAAGGCTTTTCTAAACTTTCATGGCTTGGATGCAATACTTGAGAGCATGAAGAAATCCCCCCAATACAATTCTTCTAAGTAAAAAATATACACAAGATCAATGGGGCACAAGCTAGTACATCAAATGGAGACAATACAAAAGTATTATCATGGAAGCACAACTCTTGTTTTGGCCAAATTAGGCCATGTATGTTTGAATTACAATTAGAAAGCACAACATGAGAACCCTCCAGTGCAAACCTCACAAACCTCCCTTTATTCAATCTTAGCATATAACATGCACACAAGTCATTTTCATGTCCCAACATATAATGATCATATTAACACAAGTTAAGATATGCATCCATTAAGGAGCGATACACAAAAAGGCGTCATTACATAACATGTACACAATTACATAACATTTTCATCTTTTAGCATGTATTTACATCATGAACAAAATGACATATCACAACATGGCCCCAAGGTCTTCACTTGCAAAAGAAGTCTCCTAATATGCACAAAAAGAGGTCACACACAATATTTACATGTCAACTATATTAACATACTATTTACATCATGAACAAAAAAGAGATTGCTACATGCCACAAGGTCTTCACTTGCAAAAGGAGTCTTCTAGTATGCACAAAAAGATCCATAGTACTCCACCAGAATTCTTACTACCTGAAATTGGTCAAGTAACAATAATAGAGTGAGCCAACATGCCAAATAAAAACCCTAGAGTTTTCATTCCCATGGATTTTCCTTTCATAAAAAAAAGGGTCATACATGTAACAAAGCTTGTGACTTTGTTAAGAACTAAAAAGTAATATTTTGTGATGAGAAAGTAAAGAGTGCATGATTTTTCAAGACATTGGTAAAACAAGTTCTCATTCATCATCGACAAGAACACGAATACACGTTGGACAGTGTCAACCCGGTTCACAACACCAATAAGCCATGTGGTCGGGAAACTTGTCTCATGAATTTAGATACACAACCAATTTGGTTTATAGTCCCCAAAACGGAGACTTTAGGAGGATGGATGCACAAAATCAAGTTGCAATAGGACATAAAACAAGTAGTATCCGTGGATTTTTTATATTTTTTATATTTAAGATTTTTTAAAGCATGTGAAACATCAGATAATTTAAAATATACATTTATAATAGTTTGGCATAATAAAAGGCAAACCTTGCTTCAAGAATTAGTGCATTCACCTTAAGCCCTTAGGCCTTAATGCTCCCTGAACAAGTATGCCTCTACACAAGAATTCACATGTGCAACATGAATATGTTTAAGAGATACTTAAATGCTTAGTTACCCTTTAAGGTCAAGGTAAGTCAAGTCATTCCAACTAAGGTCTTCTTATGCTGATTACAATCTTCACTGGTGTCATTGTATTATAGTCCTCTTAGAAACCCTCAAGGTAGTCATCAAAGTCACTTTGGTCAAAACCAAAGGTTGAGATATATATGTCACAAATCAATTCCATAATCAATTCATACACTGGACAAAGAAGATCAGAAAGCTCATGAATCGATTCACACCCTGGACAAAATTGAATATAGAATCAATTAATACACTTTCTAGTCCAAATCACCTTGTGTGAAGTTAGACTTCTCCCAAAATCCACTAGTTTGGCAAGACTATAGCATTAGGTGTGGAGACGGATGAGGTGTCACATGTAGAGATAGTCTAGTAAGTGCAGTACTTGTATGGATGAGGTGTGAGAAAGACTGCTAATTAGGTGGTGAAGGTGTCACCCCTAGTTTATCAATTCATCATAGGTTAAATCAATGATTAGACCAGTTAATGACTCAATAATTAGAGCTCACTATGTTTCTACACATTATAGGCCTTGCTCAGGGATTTAGGCTTTTAACACAATGTTTCTTTGTTAATTTACGTCCAACCATCCAATATCTTGAGTCGGTGGGACCCACATAAAATTTTATCCATATTATTAATTAATTTAATACTCATTAAAATAATCAACAAGTAGCTCATGATTCTTGGAGAATTTAACATTCAAAAAACATTTCTTTATGCATTTCTTAAGGTTACAATAGAAAATTTCACATTCCATTCCACAACGTGTACAAAAGTTTAAGGTCAATTAAATGATGACCTTGCAATAAAATGCATGAGGATAAAGCAATGCTAGAATGTAATGGAAGGGCAGTATCCTTATACATTAAATTTTGTATACAACTAATTCTTCAGTTCCAACAATAGCTCATTCCTCTGTTCATCTTGCTTTGAAGTTTTCCTACCCCACTCCATTACAATAACCCAGGGAACAGAAGGAGAATGAAAACAAGCTTCTGCCACATTGTATAGAAATTGCAGTCATAGGCAAAAAAATGTTTATGATTATCACATCACTGTGTCCAAATCAAGTTCTCTGTTTATCATTTGAATCCTCACAATCAAAATGCATAACATGACATATATTATACAAAATTTATGACTTATCCACAAAATATGATAGCAACCACTATAAAAAATAAAATAAAAAAACATGAAAACAGGTGCACAGAAAGTATTTACAACATTATATAGTGACCTTTATATGATGTTGATGCAAGAGTCAATCTTATAACGAACCTTTTATATCTCATTCGCTTTTGCACTTTCCACAACTTAACTACATGCGACACCCCCTCTCCGAGTGTGGCTTTCCTTCATTCTTTGTAGTTCCACATTTCTTGTACTATGTACCTACCACTAGGGTTGTATTCATTCATCTCGATCAAGGCAATCTTCACAGCTGAGCACGCTTCATCACCAAACTCATTCTTTAGATATGTTAATTTTCCATTATCTTCATCAATGATTTCCTATGCCCATTCAAATAAATAAACCCAATCTGTAAGGCGACTGATAGGACAAAAGTGAAGGAATAGTTGAAAATTAAGGTCTAATCAAGAGCAGTCTTTGCAATGGTATAGTGGGAATATCAATGAGTCTACAAGCCTAGAAGTACAGAGTGAACATAAAAATAAAAATTGTCTAGTTCTAAAGATATTGTACAAAAATACATGGTATTGTTGAAAAGGAAAATACAATCAAATTAAACTGAAAATTACGTAAATTGGTGAAGAAATGATTATGAGCATACCTTTTCCTTTTCACTTCCTTCAACATTGATGATTTTAAAAGGATGCCAGCTAGGATCCTTTAAGTACTCCCCTCACAATGACATTAGCTTTGCAGCTTCATCATCAGTAGCTTTTTCACCATATTTTCTTTTGGCTGCAATGCAGAATGCTCCACTGTCAAGATCTTCCATCAGCTTGACACCTATAGAAGCCCGAGAAGACTGTTCCTTCAAGGCTTGTAAGGTAAGAGAATAGGTGATGTGGAATATAAGAAGCTCAAGAAAGAGTAAATTCAAAGAAAGAGTAAATTCAAAGAAGCAGCGATATTTGGAAATTGGAATGGTTTCAAAGAGAAATTATTAGGAACCATACATAATCATATTTCATAATTATTTTTATGTTTCTAGGATTTTAGGTGAAAGGTATTTTGGTAATTTTATATTTGCCTACATGGGGCTATAGGGGTTGCCCATAGGTTATTTAATTAGTCTTTGTTTTTGTTTCTTATTTAGTCTTAAATTAGCTTTGGAAGTCATTTTTGGATAGTTTTCTATTTTAGTTCTAGTTGGTTTAGGAAGTCTCCTGGTCCTATATAAAGCCATGTAATGCTTATAATTTGATAGAGTTGATATTTTATAAAAAGTTAAAGAGCTTTGAAGCTTCTTTATGGGTTGTGTGTGTAAGATTCCTGAAAGCTTTTCTGTATCTTGTATATTCAATGTGTGAATGATTATAATCAGACCTTAGATTATATAGTCCTAAATCCTAAACCAAAAGGGAGAATACAATTATGCCTCTAATAGGACTCTAGCACAACCATACCTCTAATAGGACTCTAATTTGTACAACCACAATCATGCCTAATTTGGAAAATAATAGAAAATACACAATATATTCTCATACCCCCGCTCAAACTCAAGGTGTTTTAGCAGAAAACACTTTGAGTTTGCTAAGAAGAAACTGAAACCGAGCGGTAGTGTGAGTCTTGGTGAAGAAGTCCGCAAGTTACAAAGCCGAAGGATGAAAGGAAGCGAGATAGAGGCAGACTGCAGATGTTGGCAAACAAAGTAACAATCAATCTCAATATGTTTCGTCCGCTCATGAAAGACAGTATTGTGAGCAATCTGAACAGCACTGCGATTGTCACAATAGAGAGAGGTTGGAGAAGACTGAGAGACACCTAAATCAGACAAGAGACAACGAAGCCAAACAATCTCAGCAGTGGCATGAGCCATAGCACGATACTCAGCTTCGGCAGTAGAGGGAGCAACGACTGATTGTTTCTTGCTTTTCTAAGAGATTAAGGAATCTCCAAGAAACATACAGACACCAGACGTAGACTTACAATCAGTAACATCACCAGTCCAATCAGAGTCAGCATAGGCCACCAAGTCCAAAGAGGAAGTAGAGGACAACAATAAGCCCTGAAAGATAGTACCCCTGAGATAGCGAAGAACGCGAACCAAAGCAGCCCAATGGGTAGAGCGAGGAGCAGAAATAAACTGACTAACCACATGAACAGCATAAGCAAGGTCAAGACGAGTGATATTCAGATAAACTAAACAACCCACAAGCTCGCGATATAAAGTGGGATCATCCAGAGGGACACCATCAGTAGAGTTAAGCTTCACATTAAGCTCAATAGGTGTATCAGAAACCTTAGTATCAGTAAGACCAGCACGATGAATGACTTCATTAGCATACTTAGCCTGAGACAGAAAATATCCCTTAGGAGAAGAAACAACCTTAATACCAAGAAAATACCGTAATGGACCCAGATCCTTCATTTCAAATGTGCAGAAGAGATGCTGCTTGACCTCAGAGATAGTAGAAGAGTCCGAGCCAGTGATGATCATATCATCCACATAGAGCAAGAGAGCAACAAAACCAACCGAGGTATGTCGCAGAAATAAAGCAGAGTCAGAAGCAGAAGGATGAAACCCAAGCTCGGTAATAACAATTTGAAATTGATCATACCAAGCACGAGGAGACTGTTTCAGACCATACAGAGCACGTCGAAGACGACAAACCTGTCTAGAGGGATGGTGAAGGCTAGGGGGAGGACGCATGTAGACCTCCTCAGTGAGAAGGCCATTAAGAAAAGCATACTTAACATCCATCTGATAAAGAGGCCAAGAACGAACAGCAGCGACAAGATCAAAGTACGGACAGTAGTCATTTTGGCAATAGGAGCAAATGTCTCCTCATAATCAATACCATACTCCTGAGAGAAACCTTGGCAACCAAACGAGCTTTGTAACGCTCAAGAGAGCCATCAGAATGAGTCTTGACTTTGTAAACCCATTTGCAACCAACCAGGTTCTTACCACCAGGTAAAAGAACCAACTCCCAAGTACTAGTTTTCTGTAAAGCAGACAACTCATCCTCCATAGCTTGAACCCAATGAAGATCTTGACAGGCCTCCTTGTAAGACTGAGGTTCTACAAAAGAGTGAATAGCAGACAAAAAAGTATGATAGGAAACAGAAAAATAAGTATTAGATCAACCCAACCTGTTTGGAGGATGACGTGCTTGAGGAGGATATCGGTGTGCAGTAGGATCAGAGTCGTCAGAAGCAGGAGGATCAACAATAGGGGTGGAGACAACTGGTGGAGGAGGAGCCTTACGACGAGAATAAACTAACAACGGAGGAGGTGAAGAAACTGAAGAAGGAGAAACAGCCAGAGGTGAAGCAGGAGGAGAAGATGAAACAAGCTCAAGAGGAACTGTGGAGATGTACTCATCAGACGGTACCTCAGAAGGAAATGCATCAATGTGAACCAAATGCTCTTTGGAAACTAGAGCAGTGACAGGAGGAAGTTGAAAGCAAGGCAGACGTTCGAGAAAAGAAACATGACGAGAGACATAAAGACGATGGGAAACAGGGTCGTAACACCGATAACCTTTCTGAGTAGGATTATAACCCAAAAAGACACAGAGGACAGACCGAGCACTAAGTTTGGTCCTATCTTTGCAGGGAAGAAGAACAAAATAGGCAGACCTAAACACACGAAGGAGGGAATAGTTAGGAATTTGGGAGAACAAAGCCTCATAAGGAGACCGACCAGAAAGAAGGGAAGTAGGTATGCAGTTGAGAAGAAAAGCAGCAGTAAGAACTGCTTCCCCTCCAGAATGGAGTCGGAACTGAGGCAGAGAGAAGAAGAGACCTAGCGGTCTCAAGAAGATAACGGTGTTTACGCTCGGTTCGACCATTTTGGGCAGGTGTATCTTTACAGGAAGTTTGGTGAATGGTACCCAAATTGGCCAAATACTCACAGAACTCATTTTTAAAATATTCTCCACCCAAGTCAGACCGTAACACTTTAATTGTAGACCCAAACTGAGTAGTAATCATAGACTGAAAAGTACGGTATATCTGATAGAAATCAGACTTATGAGTCATAAGATAAACCCAAGTGTAACGGGTGCAGTCATCAACAAATGACACATAGTATGCAGAACCCCCTTTGGTGAGAACAAGAGAAGGGCCCCAAACAACAGTATGAACTAAAGAAAACGGTGTTTCAAATATAGAAGTACTTTTATGAAAAGGTAAGGCTGTCATTTTGGTAAGTTTACACCCCCGATATTCAGTAAGTTCACTAGGAGAAACTTTACCCAAAATACGTGACTGAGCTAAAGACCGTAAACGATCAGCAGACAAATGCCCTAATCGAGAATGCCATAAGTAGAAAGGACTAGATAGAGAATCTAACTGAAAAGAGGAAAAGGCAGTCAAAGAGGTTACTATAGGCAGATGCAAGCTCTCCACCACATAGAGGTCTCCAATTCTACGGCCGGTCCCAATCTGCTGCTTAGACATTCGATCCTGTACAGAACAGATAACAGAAGAAAAGATAACATCAAAACCAGCGGCATCAAGCTGACTGATGGGTAATAAACTGACAGATAACTGAGGAACATAAAGGACAGATGGAATAGAGACAACAGACATAGCAGACGGTAGGACAGACCCAACAGATACAACAGACATACCAGATCCATTAGCCGCATTGACAGTAATAGGAAAGGGAGGAGGAGTACAATTGTGAAGTAAGGAGAGATGGGGAGTCATATGATGAGAGGCACCAGAGTCAAAAAGCCAGACAGACAAAGAGATACCTGAAGAAGACCCAAGCAAACCTGAATGAAGAGATGAAACAATAGAAGCAGATGGAGATGGCTGGGAGGTAGACAATATAGGTTGAAGTTGACTAATCTGAGCAGTCAAGGAAGCCAAGTCAAGATCAGGAGTCGGAGCAGATGCAACATACACAGTGGGAGGAGCCCGGAAGTGGTTTTGAGATTGCTGAAAAAATGAGACAGGCTGACGTCCCTTCTTGGAACAGTGGTACTTCCAATGGCCCTTCTGATGACAGAAGGCACACTCATCAAAAGCCAGAGACATCGTAATAACTAGAAAATTGAGGAGTTAAAGTGTAATAAACCCTATATTCAACAAAATAGCCAAAACAGGGGTCGAAGGGTAATACACAGAAATCTGATGAGGATAAGGCCAATAAATCCAAAACCATAATGTAATAATCAGAAGAGTGTTAGGTCTGAATGTAAAATATAAAAACTAGCTTCTTTTTTTTTTTTTTTTTTTTTTTTTTTTTAACCCTGACCCACAAATATTAACTAGAGTATTGAGGTTGAAAGAACCAATCTGAAGCCGAGAGAACCAAATCAGAGAAGAGAGAGAGAGAGATTGAAGCCGTAGTCAAGGAAAAGGGAGATTACGAAGCCGAAGTCAAGGAATAGGGAGATTACGACATGGTTGGTGGTGCCTGCTAGGGTTTTGTAGTGTCAATGGCTCCGATGCATAAATGTGGAGCGAGAGGAGCGAAGGGGAATAGTGAGTTGCGTCTCGGTGATCTGGTTCTCGCCAAGGTCAAGGGAACTTCGATCGATCAAAGGAGAAGATTTGAGAACCAGATTTGATCAAGGGACAAGATGACCCACAACTCACACAGAGACTGAAAAGGAAGACAATTTCTAGAGTTCTGGTAGTGGCTCTGATACCATGTAAGATTCCTGAAAGCTTTTCTGTATCTTGTATATTCAATGTGTGAATGATTATAATCAGACCTTAGATCATATAGCCCTAAATCCTAAACCAAAAGGGAGAATACAATTATGCCTCTAATAGAACTATAACACAACCATACCTCTAATAGGACTCTAATTTGTACAACCACAATCCTGCCTAATTTGGAAAATAATAGAAAATACACAATATATTCTCACAGTGTGATGCAATCAAACCCTAGGTGTAATGTCTGTAGAATCTAAGCGTGATGCCTAGACCTATCTTCTTCTTCTCCTTCTTTCCCTCTTTTATTTTCTGCACTTTAACAGCTCAAAACACTATTCACGGGTACTGTTCACAGCACCCAGAGCCGCCCCTATTTTGATCTCTTTCACCCGGTTTATTAATCCTAAACCCAGTTCATTCCATTCATTGAAATCCTAAAATTCCTATTGATTTTCAGCTTTAAGCAACCATAAAAACCTACAGAAAGTTTGTTTTACCATCCTTAAGCCCTGTCCCTTATCGTCCTCCATCAATAGGGTTCTTACCACATTATTGATTGTTTATTTGTCACTACTCTGAGCATAAATTTCTGGCTGTCTAATTCTGCCATAAAAAAAAAAGCACATGTCCTAAATCAGTAATGTATGCTTGCAACCAGAGTGCTTGTTATTTTTAAAAAACTAACGGGCCTTTTCAACTTATTTCCCAACTATGTAAAAGGGTGGTTTTTAAACACATTTCTTTAAAGTGTGTTTAGTAACGACGCTTTCTAGTTTCCTATTTTATTCAACCTCTGGTGACAATGTGATTGTTAATAATGTTTTTAATAAAAAGTGCAGTTAGCAACTACGTTTTCTCTACACTTTGACCATTAACCAAGTTCTACTCCAATCTAGCTTGAAAACAAAGAAATTTAATTTTGAAAAGCATGTTTAGTATCCCCGCTTTCATGTAGTTTGGGAATAAAGTGCAAAAAGACCCTAGTTTTTAAAATAAATTTATAAAAAAGAAAGAAAAGAAAAGAAAAAGAAACATATATTGGTTAATTGCATTTTTAACATTTCGAACTTATGGGGTATTTCAAGAAGTTTGGTAAGGTACATGGACAAATGAATTTTGTTTTATAGAGGTCTCTTTAACTCTATCAATTATGTAACAGTGATCAGTAATAAAAAGTGTGCCACTAATGGACAAAGCATTGGGAGTTCACCATTCAGAACTATTTCAGAGGGCTTCCAGTTTTATTTTGCTAGAAACATCTGAGACTACATCAGAATCATCAAAAAAAAAATTACTTACGTCAATTAACTCTTTTCGAGCAGCTTGCAACTCAGCATTGCTTTCAGATTCCTTATTAATAAGTGTTTGATTCAGAGATCTTAGATCTTCAAGTTCTTGATCCTTTTGTTTTAGCGCTCTAGTTGAACCACATCCTGCTCCCTATCCTCACCCATGTTTCTCACAATGCCTCGTAGTGCCCCTCTCATAGACTCTAACTCCAACTCCAATGCTTGTCTGGCATCAAGTTTCTTCTCTAGTCCAATAATCCTTGCATGAAACTTTTCCTTTTCTCTCTGCCATTTAAAGTCAAAACAAATTATGCAACCATAAAATTATTAGAATTCAAGCAACATAATTGTCATTTTAGTGATTCAAGTAAAAACACAAAGCACACAACCTTTTGTTCTTCTTCCAACCTTTTCTTTTCCTCCAAGGTTGCTCTCGCATTCTAAAAACAAAATCAATTTGTCATCATTGTTGGCAAATAATTTCAAATGAGGGAAACTGGTTTTGTTTTGCTAGAAACGTCTCAGACTACATTAGAACCATGAAAAAAGAATATTACTTACATCACTTAACACTTTTCGAGCTGCTTGCAACTCAGCATTGATTTCAGATTCCTTATTAATAAGTGCTTGATTCAGAGTTCTTAGATCTTCAAGTTCTTGTTCCTTTTGTTTTAGCTCTAGTTGAACCACTTCCTTCTCCCTACCCTCACCCATGTTTCTCACAATGCCTTGTAGTGCCCCTCTCATGCACTCTACCTCCAACTCCAATGCTTGTTTGGCATCAAGTTTCTTCTCTAGTTCAGTAATCCTTGTATAAAGCTTTTCCTTTTCTCGCTGCCATTTAAAGTCAAAGCAAATTACGCAATCAAAAAATTATTAAAATTCATGCCACATAATTGTCATTTTTTAGTGATTTAAGTAAGAACACAGAGCACACGACCTTTTGTTCTTCCTCCAACCTTTTCTTTTCCTCCAAGGTTGCTCTCTCCTTCTAAAAACAAAATCATTTTGTTATCATTGTTGGCAAATAATTCAGATGTCCATAATACAATAAACAAAAAGAATTTGTATACCCTCCAATTCTAAAAATAAATACATAAATTTTGGTACAAACTAAACAGAAATGCACGATTGAGATATTTCACAGGAAAAACTTCCTTTAAAAGGGGATAAGGTTCCTGACACTGGGAGCAAAAAAGCCTCATGCGGACAGCATATTACTTGTTGAACATATTTGAGTTGGTCTATTACCAATTAGATATACTATCATTCAGTTAATTGATTCCTCCGCTGAAAACAGTTTATAGGGTGTCAGTCTCTACTCTTATTTTAAGCTATTTGATATTATTGATCTAGCGAGAAACAATAAAAAGAAAAAGAATACTACAGTACCTTCTTTTTTTTGGGGGGTTAGGCAAATAATTCATTGAAGAGAAGATACAAAATGTAGCACGTGCGGCTCAGAACATCTAAGGGCATTGAAGAGAATGAGAACAAAAGGAAGGGCATACCCCTTCAACGACATCTACAACCTAACACAACAGCCAACAGATTTTGACTTCTACCAGTAAAGGACTACTCTGAAGCATACAATCAAACAGATACAGACCCCTTCCACTAGTGAAATATTCAAAAGCATTTCTACAGCAACTAAAGCACTAAACTGATCCAACTAAAAGAAAAGCCAGGCTAGAATCAAAACCCATTCATTCTTCGAGAAATACTAGTACAATTACAGTACCATAATATTCTCAAATTGGAGCTTGAGTCTCTTCTTTTCATTTTGGATCTCCTTTTTCTTCAATTCTTTCTCAAGTTCCTGCAGTGATTTGCTCTGGCCTTCTAACTCGGCTGTTATCTTTTCTTGCTCCTTTACAATCTTCTGAAGTTGACTTTGTGCACTCTTCTGCATCTTCTTTACCTAGTTGACGTAATATACATTGTCAGCATGATATTTAATGGAGAAAAAAAAAATACAGAAGGAAAGATTCAACAACTAATTATGGCGTACTAGAGAACTGGAACTGATTAGGTGATTTTCTAGTATCCCTTGTGGGTTTTGAGAATGACCCCTTTGCATTGACATACTCTTCCATGGTCCTTAGTAGGCCTAAATAAAAATGATACAATTAATAAGCGAAAACAAATAAAAACTATATAATTCATACACAAAAAGAAACAAAAGGCTCATTTGATGGCGATAAATCTGGGCCCACCGATTCTTGGACTTGCGATAAATTCGGGCCCACTAATCTTGGGCTATTGGGCTTAAATAATTTAGTGGGCTCAAATTAGCCCCTCTTACAGAATGTAGTCAGCTCAGCTTCATTTCAAATATTCAAGATACAAATCACAAGACCACTATTTCTTCAACAAAATAATAATCTTAGGCCCAAAAGTTAAGTACGCAAAGATATAATAATCTGGGGACTTTTTAGTGCAGCTGCAGGGCTTCAACATCTCCTCTCCCGATTTTTCTTCAATGAAGGGGAAATTTGAATTTTTTTGGGGGGGAATAAATGAAACAAAACATGAAGGGGGGAGCAATAACTTTAGAGAAAAAATTAAAACAATGCATCAAATAGAATTAGCACACACCATTTCCTAGATATATGTCCTAAATCTGGTTGTCTAACCATTTCCTAGTTAACTTCAGGGAATTTCTAAAGATATCTTATCCCTTTTCTCCAAAAATGTTTCCACCAATTTAGAGTCAGATTTGTTACTACACAATTGGCCCCATTTGGGAATAAGCTATTTTAGTTGGCTATTTGGCTTTTTACAAAAAAACATGCAAAAAAATAGAGAGAATGATGTGATGGGGGTGTTTTGTTTTATTGGCTATTTTACCACATCGCAAACACCCCAGCCCCAGCCATTCAACTTCCCTTTTTGTAGAAGAACTTCAAAACAGGGGAACCATGCACATACCTCATTTACAAGTCATGTCTGCTAAAAAATTATACAAATCACAATTAAATTGAGTAGTTTGTTACAGGCCAAAATCATCTTCAGCTTGGAACTTTCAGTTTCAGCCAACAATACTTGCAACAACATTTTTTCAAAAAAAATTTAAAGGGCTGTAACCCCTCGCGAACCCCTCCAAAAATAAAAATAAAAATTTAGCACTCCTCGGATTTTCCATTTATTACAGAAATTTTATTTCTTCTATTGTTCAGTGAAAAATAGCAACTCATAAAACAGAATCCAAAATACTAAAATAGTCTGGTACCCTGGTAGCATTTTAATACGCTTACATATCTGTTATAAAAGGATGATTTTTGGGAACAACTGTAGGCCCATGGAACATAAACTGTTGTCCGATGTATCAACCCCAAAATATTTGTATGTTGTCGATAAGAGTGTCTCCAGAAATACTAGTTAAAATATTTAGCTAGTCACCTTTACAATGTATGCTCCAACAATGATCTTTACTTTAGCCATGTTCTTTTAACATATTCATTTAATGCTTTTATGAGGGAGAAAATATGGAAGAGAAGAGAAAAGACTACATGGTTTAAGAATAAAAAATTAAGTGGCTGGTGATTCCAAGCTAGTTACTATTCATAAAACTATTTTAAAGGTTATTTGGAGTGTCTTAAATAAGTACATTTTTTAACTTTTTAGACTAAAATGTTGAGGAAAAAAATATGATTGTTTGGGATAACTTTTTGTCTTTTTACGAAAAAATGTGTATTAAAATATTATATAAAATGAAAAAATTAGGTTTTTACCCTACATGACAGAATCATCAGTGACAGGCGGCAGAGGAAAGTACGGCTGGGTTGAAATGGTGCATGAGGCTTCACCGGTACTGTTGGGTTGTGGGGCCCACCAAGGGTCTCGTTTCGATAATCTGAACCGTTAAATGTGTAGAACTCGTTAAGTACTATATGGCTATGAAAAATTATTTTAATCGAATATCGATAGTTATGTGTTCAAAACAATTTTGTATGAAATTAATGGATGGTGAAAAATAAACGGTTGAAAAAAAACCTGATTCGATCACATAGCTATCTATATTCGATCAACGTGATTTTTTATAGTCATATAGTGCTCGATGAGTTCTACACATTAAACGGTTTGGATTATAAAAAACGGACCCATGTTGGGCCCCCACGAGTCCAACATTACTCTCCAACTTAATAAATATATACATCTAATTATTTTTTTTTTTGTTCATTTGGACAGACCAATACGTACTGACAGTACCAACGCTGTCCAGTCGTTGTTTGTATTAAAATATTGGGAAAATTAATTTTTTTTATATTTTTAATTTGTGAATAGTGATAACTTTTAATTTTTTTAGTAACTTTTTAACTTTTTGAATTTTTTTTGGTATGCCAAACCAGGCCTTAGTTAGTCTTTTGACTAGTCTGGTTGAGGGATTTTTATTGAGTTTGGCTAGCTATTTTAGTCAAATTGATGGTTTAACTAGTTTGTTGTGATGCTCTAACAGTGTTCAAGTTTGGTGACAAAACAAGAACTTAAATAGACAAATACATTTCCAAAGTGATTAGAGATGCATGCAAATGAAAAAGAACAATAAACAACAACCAAAGGGCAAAATAAAAAACAAAAATGCCCGGACACAACACACAAGATAGATGAAGAAACATAAGCAAACAAAAGCATACATAGAATTTTGGGGGAATTTCATATCAGGGTACAACTTGAAAAATAATTACAAATTAGTGGTAAACTTCACCAATATTAAAAATTAAAATTAAAACTTTTCCACCCATATGTAATAATTTTTTCAACTTTCAACTGAGGGGTAATTTTCCCTAGAATTGAAGGAAAAAGTTGTGCAGTGGGGTGGGCTTTTAACTTTTGTATATTTTTCTAATTATAAAATTTTAAAAATAATTTACAAACAAATTTTATTCTTAAACTAAGTTAAAACATAATTAATAATTACATTTTTCTTGATTTTTTTTTTTTTTTTTTTTTTTACGGGGCAAGTTTGGAAAGTTTGGATAATAGCCAAAAAAATCACTAAAAATGTCAAAAGGCCACAAGTCAAAAATTCCATTCCCTCTCTACTTTTTGCACATTTTTCATAAAAAGGTAAAAAATCATCCCGAACATGCTAATTTTTTTCACCTCATATTTAGCCAAAAAATTAAAAAATTATTAAAATAACTTATTCTCAAAACAATTCTTAATTTAGAAACTTGTAAAAAAATGAAACAAGAAAAATAGTTCAAATACTGGTATGGGTTAAGTAAAAATATGATTAGCAGCCACACTTTTATAAAAACCATGCTTGTATAACGGCAAATGACACTTTACCCCTTAACAATTCTCTAGTACACTTTAGCCTTTTAGTAAAAATCGCAACGCGTAAACACTTCCTTCTTTATTTTTTATTTTCAATGGTGATTTTACTGACAAAAATACCCTTTCAACTAGAGGTGCTCACGGATCAGATTGGGTTGGGTCACCTCTCATCCATCATCTATTCGAACTTATGTGAATTGGAAAAAATAATCCCCATCTGTCCGCGTAGTTAGAGGGATGCAAATTAAGCGGACCGTGCAGGTTAGCGAGGTGAATGCGAATTTGTTTGACAATTTGCACTTTACTATTTTGGAAATTTTTCTAAATTATTTTTCATTTATTGCTTACTATTTTTAGTACAAAAATTTTTTATTCTTCGTACTTTATAGTAAAAATAAAGGATCAACTTTCATATTTTATGAACAACAAATATGATTAATAAATAGAAGGTCCTTTTTTTAACACACAAAGTATAAAAGCATATTCTTAGTGTGTTAGTGGATCGGATTGGGCCGAATGGCCTTCCATCTGCCATCCGTCCGAACTTAGACGGATTGAGAAAAATACATCTGCATCCGTCTGCTCGGATTATTGAAATCATTCATTTTATGGCGAATTGGTTCAGGCCATTCAATTTTAGCAGATCAAGTCGATGCTTACCCACCCCTACTTTCAACTATATAACTTAATATTACTTTAGTTATCGCTTTTAACTATCAATTTTTATCCATGTAAACATATGGTTAAGGATCTATTACATAAACAGATTCAAATTGGGCGCGCGGAGGTGGGGGAGGGGGAAGAGCCAATAGATTATTTATTTTTTAAAATGGAGAAAAAAGTAGAGGGGTAAATAATAATTTGCCCCTTTTAAAAAACAACAATCATGTTTAAGAAATTTACCAAAAAAATTTGGCCATACATTATTTTGAAAATAAATAAAATTTAATATATATATATATATATATATATGAAGAGCATATCCAAAACTCTTTAAAAAGATTTGTTAGCTATTGTAAAGAAAATACTATAGACCTCAAATAATTTACCAAATTTTCTATCAAACATTTCACACGGTTGTGGAATCCACACAAACCCACATGTGTGTGGTTTAGTAAAAAATTTAATAAATTATGTGGGATCTCTAGTATAACTCCTATTGTAACTAGCATCGTACTATTTTAGTCACTCAAATGGGCTCCTAGGGCCTGTAAAAAATCCAAACTGTTCACTTAAATATACTTGCAAAAAATCAAATTAATCAGAGATCGATAACCTTTTTGTTAAATTGTATTTGTATATAAAAATATAAATGGTACATAGAATAAAGAATATATAGAAAGGAATATATCTTTTTATATTGGGTAAATTACAAACACACCCCCTGAAATTACTTAAATTATAAATTATTCTGTGGTTCTAGAAATTACATTATACCCTTAAATTTCTAATTTCATAACAAATATGTCTTTTTATTAATAAATCTTTAAAATTTTATTTCAATTAATAATTTAAATAATTTTATTATTGTATAAGTGAACAATTAGAAATTTCACCTTTTCAATTAATTTTGTTAAATAAAAAATTCTGACAAGAGATATTTGTAATTTTCCAAACCACAAGAGACTATTCGTATTTTAAGTAAATCTAAAGGGTATATTAGTAATTTATCCTTTTATATTTTAGGTAGTGAAAAATATAAAGTTGCTTTCAGAAAAATGAGTAAGAGATCGATAAGAACCGCAAGTTAGACTTTGAAGGGAGGGGTCCAATTTAACCCTACACAAATTAGGGGTGGGTGTGGGTCGGTTGCGGCCACGAAACCTCCAATCCGCCATCCGTCTGCCAGATTGACGGATTGGAGAAAATCAATCTGTATCCATCCGCCAACTGG